CCTTTACTGCCCCAACAATCCCAAATTGAGCCAGTTTCTGACCGACTTTTTTCTCCGTAGACAGATTTGGCTCAAATGTTGTCTCCTGGGGTATTTTGACCTCCTGAATACGAATATGACATTCACATTGCCCGAAACCTCCTGGCGCCTGCGCCACAGGCGCCGATGATCTGAAAAATGTTTTGGCGCCGCACCTGTAGCTGGTGACTGATCTAGGGAGAAAACAACCATTGCTGGAAACGCCGCAGGCAGGGTACATCGTTGTTGGGGATTTCTCAACGGATTCGTATTCGGTCGCCGGGAGAGGGGGCATCGGATCGTATTCGGGCCGAGGAAAGTTTTTGGATTCCAGATTTTTCTTGTTTCAGGAAAGTTGTGAAGCGGTGGGTGGGGGTCGTATTTCCTTTCTTCCCTTCTGAGCTTGTGTGAGAGATTGCTGACTTTTCGTGTTTTTTCCTGTTTCGTGTATACCATACACCCTCCCCTCCCCCGTCGACAGCAACATTTTCGGGAGGAAGCAAGAAAATTTTCGGGAAATTCCGGAAAAAGTGGTAGGAAGTTGGGGAGAATCTAAGAAATAGAGAAAAGGATCGTATTTCCTCCCGTTTCGCATGTGCTACTTAATCCCCCCCCGCTCGATAGCTCGATGAGGAGGGAACCAGGGGGTCCTACCAAGCCACCTTTTGAAGGGGGGGGGGAGTCGTGCGGACTCGACAAAATTCCCAACTAATGATGTGCTCTGGCCGCGGGTCGGCTCCCTTGCAAGCGCCTGACAAACCGCGGCATTGGCAAATGGCGAGGACGCCAAACTGGTGATCGTTCTGTGATAAATAATTTCGAAGCTTCATTTTGTAACGCCACCTACAGATTACGGAGATGCTTGAGGAGTACTCGTGCGGGTTCCTTTTTGTCGATTCATGAAGATTATGGGGTCTCATTTTCTTGCTGAATATTTATTGGCTTTCAGCATAGTTTTTGGAGCTGCAATGCCATTTTTACATCAGGAGTGTCTTGTTATTTGATAGATATCTGCCTAATCACTTCATGAGATTCGTTGTTTCAGCTGAAAGAGGGAGAAGTATGATACCAAGAAAAAAATATGAAAGGAAGGTAAAAAGAAAATGGAGGAGGAAAGCGAAAGGATTTGTCAATGCCGAATTCAAATTTGAACATAAACTCGGTTCACGTGAAATAGCAGATAAGTGGACAGAGTATTAGTACCCATATGGGAATGAAAAAGCTTGGATACCGAGAAGAATTATCCTGTCACCTCCTTCCCATTGGGTGATTGATGGGTGCCATAGAAGTTCCGATAGCTTGTGTTGGTGGTTCCTATAATATAAATAACCGGGCCCAATAACTTGCGGATAAAAAGGTGACGAGAAAAGTGTTGAATATTGGCCAAACTCCTTGGTATGCGCTATGTATCCAAATCCCCTCCTTGAATTGATAGTCAAGCCACAATGCCCACCCCTTGTCATTCTCCCACCATTTCTTATAAAATTCACCTGATTTCCTGAAAATTCATTGAAACAGACAACAATGATTTATTCCAACTGTGTTGAAGCTATTCTACGAAAAAGTTGCGGTAAGACATTTCATCGAATGATTCTTGATCATTTGTTCCAGGCTGATCGCTGTATCCATTCGAGAGTGACTGAGGCTAAAATTAATTTGAAAACTGGTTTTCTGGAATTATAAATGTACACATTCCGGTAAAACTCTTTGAGAATCATTCCTGCAATCTTCACTTCTTGAGAAGGATTTTTGGAAACTTGCTCTCACCGTCAAATTCATTCCAGAGATGATTTTGCTGACTCCACAGTCTGATGGACAGTATGGTGATGGTAAGCCGGGCTCACCAGTCGGACCTGCGGGACCACGTTCACCATATGCTCCGTACTAAAACCAGAAATATATATGGCGCACATAAAAGAAGCTGTTATCTTCAACAGGGTTCAGAAATTCTCTCTTAAGACCTCCTTTCAGACAAGCGAAACTAATAGGTAGTACAGTACACGCGAGAGTTA